TTATATCTGCTCAGCTTGTCTTTCATTTCCATCCTTCCGTTTTCTTATCTGTATTGATATCCTAAAAACAAGGCAGTGTCGATCACAGTTCGTTGGCTTATGTATATGGTGTAAATAAAACCAAAGGATGAGTGTTCTGAAATTATTTGCTGCCATGACATTATTATCATCCATGTGAATATTTATGTAGCCACAGAAGACAATCTCAGACTGATGTAAAAGGTATTCAACAATCATACTTTCAAAAGATAATCGTTTTATTATTTTCCAATATTATAGTAATAGTGTGCACAAGGTGGTTTGTATAACAGCGTGCAAAAAAGACAAAGAAAGAATGCAATATATGGCCTTAAACATAATTGAATGACATTGAATGACGTATTTATGACCATAATCACCTGACCATGTCAGAAATGGTACAATAGTATTTTTTTGACTATGTACAGCAAACATTAATATAGGTTTTACATAGTGGTCATCACAAAATTCAAGATGTCTACTAAATTACCTTGACCTAATAAATAATATTACCTTAAATATGGCTGCCATAGTGACTTTCTATTAAAAATTGAAATCTGTGAGCTTAAGTGTAATTTTATTTTAGAACATACCTGCTAACGAATCATTAGGATATTATACAGCATTAAACATAAAATGACATTGATTGACGTAACTGACCTATTTATATCATAATATCCATCTGAACATTTTAGACATCAACATTCTAATTAGATTTTTTTAAAGCTGATATAGGCCTATATAAAGTTTATAGGTTTGCATGGCAGCCACTTTGAAATCCAAGATGGCCGCAAAATGACCTAAAATATATAATATTGTCGTTACTATAAAAAAAAATTTCAAGAGGTTGAGTGTGATTCCACGACAATTACGTATATTAAGATGTCATACAATATTTTACATAAAATAACCTCGAATAATCTTAAATGACCTTAAATGCTTTATTGATGTCAATCTGACGAGGGCAACAAGAGCCTGATAGTATTTCTTGACAATAAAAACATACTTTTAGACAGAATTACAATTCCAAGTGGTTTATAAATCGGCCTATGTTTTATATGGTGCCACTTTCCTTTGCATTTTTAAAATAATATCGCTTTTTTTTTTATAAAGGCAATACATGTAGGTCTAAAAAATATGACATATATGGTGACATTACAATTTTTCTCATATTTTTATCTATTTCAGCATATTTCCCCTACCTCGATTTTTCTAGACTTTTAATATGTACAAATAGGGACTTTATAGAAACACACCGTGGTAAAATTCTGTTGCAATTTTCAAACTTTCACGAATTTTACACTAATTTCCTTTTACTTTTATTAACACAACTTAAAGCAAAGCGGAACAAGCGGAAAGAATGGGGTGCTTTTAAAAAGATTGCACATATTTAGTTAAAGAATGTGATGGGTGGAAGATAAGGCTGGTAATATATATAAACACTACCTTTTACAAACTTTTGACAGCTGACCTTACCAAGGAATACGTTAATGAACTTAATCACTTAATTTCCACTTTTAAACATATTGATGATAATCTCTATGATTTTATTCCACAGGAACCTCAACCCAGTCTGTTCTACACAATTCGTAAGGGCCACAAGCTCCCCTCCCTTGTTTTTAAGAAACTCCGCTTCATGACTCACCCTGACTATTCTTTGCCATATTGCCTCAATCCTCCTACTCTCTACAACGCAGCCAGATCCCTAGCAATCACGCCTCCGAGTAGACACATTATATCTTGCCGTGGCGCTCTAACTGAACACCTGTCCGGCTTTATAGATTCCATCCTTAATCCCCTTCTCATCAAAATACCGAGCTTTACTCAAGACATTACTCACTTCCTCAGAACAATGAGCTCCATTTCTTATCTCCCATCTGACGCAATCCTGATTACATTAGATGTCTCGTCCCTATATTTCAACATCCCACACGATGAGGGCATTTTAGCATGTTCTCTCTTTTTACAACAGCATTCATTACCAACTGACAATTAATAATATTACTTCTAGCATCCAATTTATTCTCACACATAACAATTTCCACTTTAATGACCACCACTACTTACAAACAAAATGTACCGTCATGGGGACCAGGATGGCTCCAAGCTACGCCAACATTTTCATGGCCCAACTAGAAAATAGACTCTTCTCTTCCTTCCATCTGCAACCTCTCTATTATTCTCAAAATATCGATGATATATTTTTCATCCGGACGCACGGACTTGGAACCCTCATACATTTTGGGGACCATATCAAGAAATTTCAATTTGATGCGTGAGCACTGACTGTAGAGACTTCTTAAGGGAATTGGGGTGGTAACTGGAAAAGTGGAGGTAAGAGTGACAGTCCGTGGGCTTGGTGTAGAGTGAAGTGGATATACGTCCTTCGGAGATTTTGACTAGGATATCGAGGAAGGGTATGTAGGTGAAAGAGTATTCCATCGTAAATTTGATGACGCATCTTTTCCGTACCTACCGATTATACCCTCCAAATCCAATCCCTTACCACCAAATTTCTCGAGGCCGACTACCCCATTAACATCATCAAATACCAGATCCATCGAGCTTCCCTTATTTCCCGTACAAACCAAAATTTGATAACAATCGCATTCCCATTGTACCTAACTACCAACCTTAACAATACCAATATCGCTAGTCTCATACGCAAAGATTTATAAATTATTCAACAAGACACATCCATCAGTCCCCTGTTTCCAGAACCTCCTCTTTTGGCCCAACGCCAATCTCCGGATATCCAGTCTATTTTATCGCCCTCTAATCTATCCAACCCCTCCCTTAAACCCACTGGCAACCACCATGTCAACTTTGCAAAACCATCATCACCTTAAAATATATTAAGCTGCCCCTAACTAACGTCCATATAAAAACCCCCAATTTAACTTGCGATTCCACCAGTCATTTATCTCACTACCTGCAACAAATGCAACAATGGAAAATATCAACACAAACGTGACATCCGTAAGAATGACCCAGACAAAACCGTTGCTCAGCACTTCAACCTCACTAACCACACCCTTTCAGACCTCCGCTTCGCCGGCCATCATAGGTCACAACTTCAAATCCACAGAACACCGTCGCCTCACTGAGCTCAATTGGATAACTAAACTCAAGACCCACACCCATGGTCTAAACAAAGACTTGGGCTTTCTATCTGGCTTTACATTCCACCTTTAATGTCATTGTCCACCCATTTTCACTGTCTCCCTTTGCTCTCCTCCCTTTCGTAGCCCACCTCTACACTTTGCACGGTAACATATTTTCTCCTGTCTTATGTTCATGCGCCTTTTGCCTTCCATACGCTTTTTACCGGCTTTTCAGTTGGTCGCTCTGGCATTTTGGTTTTTCCCAATCTTTTGTTCTCACATGTGTCAGTGATCTGCATGATTATTCTGTGTATATAAGAGAGTTGTTTGTACATAGTGACACATTTGTCTACCCTGAAGAAGAGAGCAGAAGCTCTCGAAATATTGGTTGCTAATGAACACATGTTCCTAGAAGTCACATTCTTTCGTTTCTTGTATTCGTACTT